GTCACCTTACCGCCCACGTCCACGAGAAACTCGTATTGGCACTGTTACCCCAGTACAAGCTACCATTATTCAACCATGTTTATCCCCCATGACCAGTCCACCGGAAGACCAATTTTCCTTTCCCCAGCAGACACTCGCGCCAATAAATAACACTCGCACCATCTCCCTACGGCAAATTTCGGGTCCTGGTATTTAATCATCTTCTACCTTGAACTTTCGAAAGGCTGACGCCAATCTCACCTTCAGGTTTAAGACAATTAAATAGGGGCAGCTGTCGTACCCCAAATTTGCCCTACCCTTTTTACTTTTGTCTGGATTTGAACTTTGCATCCCATTCGCACCATGTTCACTAAGGCATTTGCATATCCCGCATCTCATGGAATCTGGCGCCTTAGTTTGAGGTATTAGGGTTGTGCCCTCTTTATGTCTAATTTTGTTTTGAAGTTCTCTTATCAGGTAAAAGGGAAATGCATATGGTTCTCGATTAGTGGATTGTGGGATGGATTTTTGAGGTATCATGAATTTCTTTCTCACCAAGTTACAAGGTTGTTTCTCGCTCGAATTCATCAGAGTCTGGATTATGGTTTATTTCCCTATTTGTTGGTCAAGAGGCTAGGGTTTTGGATCCATAGTTTTTGTGATGATTCTTTTGCCTACCTCAAAGATAACTCAAAGCTCAGTGCATTAGGTCAAGGATCTCATCTCCTTGCATTTCAAGTTTTCTTCTTAAGGTCTCTAAGTCACCGAGTCGAGAGTTTGAAGTTTAAGTTGACGAATGCGGAGTTTGGGCACAAGAAATAAGGTTGGGGGTTCATGACAATCAAGGAATATTTTGGTTGCTTAAGTTACAAGTTACTTGTGGTTTGAATATCAAAGTTAAAGTTCTGTTTGAGAGTGCAAGTTTGGTCCAGGCATGATATGAAGATTAAGGTTTAAATGACCATTGTTTTGGGTTCGAATTAACCAAGTGGAATTAAATTCTTAAGCATTTATTTTGTTCAAGAGTTTGATTGGAGTTTGGAAGATAAGGCGCATGGTTGCTTGAAGTACAAGTTACTAAAGTCATGTTTGATTTCTGGAATTCAAGTTATGAAGGAAAGATGTGCATTCAAATCATTCAAGCGGAAATTGCTATTTTCAATCAAGATTCAAGAGTTTGTTTAATTTCTATACAACGAATTCATCATTCAAAAAATGTATCATTCAAGTTTTGTGTTCATTACATTGTTGGGACAAGTTACAAAAGGGACCAAATGTTGAAATACAAGCTACAAATATTTTGTTTACAAAGAAAATGTTTGTTTCTTCAAATCTCTTTGCTTCATCTTCAAGCCATTCGTCCTCACTCCTCGCCATGGCCTCTTCGTCTTTTAACCTTGCCTAGATCGTCCAATAATCGTGTTCATGAAATAAGAAAAAGGGGAAAAGTTAGCAATGAACAACATGTGAAAAATTCCAAAAAATTACTTGTTAAAAGAGAATGCTCATCATTAGAGTTTGTATTTGGAATCAGATTAAAAGGGTTTATTTTTAATCATTGACCACTTTCTCCCAATTGCAAATCACAAAAAGTTTGTTCTTTTTGGTTCACAAAAAAGAAAAAGAAGTGTGCAAATATTTTTCAAACTGCTATACATCAAAATAATATACAAAACTGTCCAATAGTAACAAAAAACCAGCAAACAAAGCAAGGCAACAGGCAACAGGCAGCAGCAGCAAGCTGCAACAAGCAGCAGCAAGCTGCTATACAGGCAGCCTAAACAAAACAACAAAACTGCAACACAAATAAAGCTAAGCAAATACAACCCAAACAAAAACAAAAAAAAAATAGCATTGCAACAAAACTGCATCACCAAAAACAACCGCAAGCAGCATAGGCAAAATATAGCACAACAATAATTTAAAAAATAGCAGTGCAAGCTAGCACTAGTTCATGGCCAAAACCCTATTGTAACATCATTTTCCTAAATTGCAAACCCTTCAGAAATTATTGAATAAAAGCAAGTTTGCTTTACATCATTGAAAGATGAAAGAGGAAAAGATATCACCTGCACTGCTGCCTCAAATCTGCCAAAACCTGTTGCATAAACAACCAAACGGAACATGCCAAAACCTGCACCTCATATGTGCCACACGTGCTCTAAACAGCCTGAAAATAATGTCAAAATAGGCAAAAAGAACTTGTACTCAAAAATCCCAAAGTCAACATACTAACAACGTTCAAATTCACAAAGTTCCCTCCAATTTTCCACCCTTATCTCATGATAAGAAGAATTATTGTCTCATTAAAAAAGGACGTGTTTTTTGAGAAAGAGAGAGAACCATCCAGCCAGAAAACCAACAAAGAGAACACAACCAACATAACAAAATCAAAGAGAGAGAGAGAGAGATACATAGGAAAACTTCAAAGAAAAACACCATAAAAAAACCAGAAAGTTTTGTTCAAAAGGAAAAAACGAAAATTTCATACCAAAACTGAAACCTCCAACCTTCTCAAACCTCCGCCCCCTCATCCATTAACTCTAATCCAAATCTTCATCAATTTCTCTACACTCTTACTCAACAAATTTCGTACAACCCTCACTCAATCTCTTACTACCCCTGCATAAACCTGTTACAAACCAACACAATCTGATAAGAAAACATTTTATGTTTTCATTATGCTAAAAAAAACCTCTCACAAAAAAAAAATAGAAACTCACCTCTTTCGATCTTCATTCTTAAAACTCCCAGAAGAATCACTAAGAAAAGCTCTGCAATCACCTTATCTTCATCTTCTTTGCATCAAGAGATTCTTCTATCCTCTTCGATCGATGTTGTTGCTCGCGGTTTTCTCGTAACATCTTCGTCTTCATCGCATTTTCAACCAAATGCACCGCGATTGAAATTCCTGCAAACAAAACCCAACAATAAATTGCGGAAGCCATAACAAAGAGAAGTGGAGAATCACATAAGAAGGAGAATATTAGAGCGATGAACTTACATTTTGATTTATCGTTTTCGCCGCCATTGAAGAGGTTTTAGAATTGTCTCCCATAGGTAATTGTTTTCTCTTCCTCATCACGTACATTATTTTTGTGTCAATTGTTTGAATCAGAGAACGATATCGTCGCGATAAAGTGAGATTGAGGTTGAGAATCGAAGATGAAGATTAAAGAGGGAAGAGATGAACGGATACATGAGGCTCATATGAAATGGAGATGATGGTGGTGATTAGTGTTGGCCGCGGTGGACAAAGAGAAGGAGGAAGAGAGAGTTCGTCGTCGGGTCTTTGTGAGGAAGAAGAGAGAGGTATGTGCTTCATGAAGATGAAGAGGGCAATAACGAACCTTAATTCCTCTTTTGTTTTTTTCAGTTTTAATTTTTTTTAATTCAATAAATATATTAATAAATAATAAAATGCTGAATAAATCTGGTTTGGATTTGGATGTGGGTTGAAGTCTGGGCCAAACCACATGTTTCCCCCAAGCCCGTACATTTTTTTGGAGTTGAAAGCTGAATAAAAATCTAGATGGATCATGTTGAGTTTTGTTGGACCGGGCCATATCTCCATAAACCTATGTTTTATTTTTGTTTTTTCTTGGAATATCTTGTGAATAATAACACTCATGTACCTTCATTTTGGGCCTAGCGCCCAGGTTTCTGATCATACCGCTGGAATCAGATTGCACCCCCTGGATTTCTCTATGTCTTTTATTTTCATTTTAATAACTTTTTTTTGTTTGATTTAATTTCTCTACATGATAAAATGACAAATAAAAATACTAGATAGTATTTATTTTATTTTTGGTTGATTATGCTATGCTCCCTTAGGATTATTAATTCAATTCTAATCTCTTGATTAAATTGAATTAATTAGACAATAGGTTTTTATCCATGCATGCTAACTTAGATAGAAGTTTCCCTTTCAAACTTAACCTTAGGGCCATCATTGTACGGTAATATTAGGGCTAGAACTAGGTTAGTCTCCCTTAGACTTTTTCTTTTACATTGCATATTTCCTAATTAAGACAAAAACTTCTTTCTTTAATAAAAAAAATCCAAAAAAATACTTAATCATTATTCAAACTCATTTCGCACTTAACAAAAACACTCAACCAATCAAACACTAAAGAGAGCATGTTATCTTCGTTCTACCGCGATACCGACCATGCCTATTGCTAGAATGCGTGTGTTAACGTCGCCCACTAAAAAACACAAACAAACAAACCATTTTCTAGAGGAACTACGGTGTTCTGATTCCTTCATTGGATACATAGGCAAAGGGTCGCGAAACCCTCACGAACGCAATAATAAAAATCATCTTTTCCTTTTAAGCAAGTATAGTTGTAGATAAATACACCCTTTAAGACAAACAAACAAAACGGATCCCGTTGAGTACAACGGATGTGAGGGGTGTTAATACCTTTCCCTCGCGTAACCGACTCCCTTACCCTTTCTCTTGGTCGCAAGACCATCTTATCCATTCTCTTGTGGTTTTATCGATATTTCCCCTTCCTTTGAGATAAATAAAGTTTGGTAGCTGCTCTGTGTTTTTTGCCAATAACTTCAGCAGTTTGTGGTGAAAGTTGGAAATATGTATCATCTTATTGAGCAGTGGGGGAGTAGTCATTCTCATTGTTTTGATAAGTAAATGAAATTTTAGGAATAGAAAAGTCAGCAATGAGGGGTCCAAGGGTGTGTAACCATTCCATACCAAGGATTATATCAGCACCTTCAATGGGTATTAAATGGAAAGGAATAACAAACAAATTATTATGTAGTGTGATAGGAACTTGAGGACAAAGTCCCGAACAAGATAACTTGGATCCATTACCTACCATGACAGAGAAGTTAGGAATTTGTTTGGTGGTTAATTTGAGATGTTGAGCAATGCGAGGTTGTAGAATATTGTAAATATTTATGGTGTCAATCAAAATAGTAACAGTAAGACCATGGAGTAATCCATTAAATTTAAGGGTCTTAGGTGAAAATTGACCGCTGGCAGCTTATGGTGAAAGCTAGAAATACGTATCATCTTGTTCAGCAGTAGGGGAGTAGTCATTTCCATTGTCTCCAAGTTCAAGTGTTGTAGGTTCCTCTTCATCTATCATTAACAGCAGAAATTTCCCCGAGGTGTATTTATGACTTGGAATAAATTTTTCATCGCAAGTAAAACACAAGCCTTGGGCGTGGCGCTCTTGTAGTTGGGCGTTTGAAAGGCGTCGGATATGTAATTTCATGGGTTGTGATGTGGAAGAAGTTTTAACGGTTGGGGTAGGAAGGTAGGTTGGGGTATTGGAATGGTTAAGGGTGTTGGAAAAAGGCTTTTGATATTTAGGTTTTGAATCTTTAATTTTTGACTCAATCAGCTTAGCTAAACCAATAGCTTGGGAGGTAGAAACTGGCTTATGAATTGCAATTTCGTTCTGTATATCAGCTGCCAAACACAAAGCATCACCCTTCATGTTAAAAGACATCATAGGCAAACGATTTTCACTTGATAATTGATAAAAAAGTAAAAAATTGATCAGCTTGAAACAACCATTCAAGGGGATTAGAACCGTCAAACATGACGAGTTCCAATTTGGGCGTACAAAAGATGGGTAAGGGCGTTGTTGGTTGAGGTTGGGGGGTAAAATGGTACTGAAAAGGGTTGTGTGTTGGTAAAAGTCGCGGATGAATTTTGGTAAGGGTATTTCATAAAAGGTTGGGTAGGGAACAGTCTAGAGTATTGGTTTGTTGTTTGTCTCATAGGACTAGTAATACAAGGTGGTGTTGGGAGAAGATGAGAAAGGGTAGCCGAATGTAATGGGTTTGTGGTAGCATGTGTAAATATAGGAGAACCATGGGGTGAATGTATTGTAGCTAAATGGGAAGCAGAAAGAGACGTTATCCTAAAAGCAAAAGTAGGAGTGTGCGTGATACATGAGGAACCAGCGGCGTGAACAATAGCCGCGGAATGAACAGTAGTTGCGGACCGAACAATAGCCGTGGAAAAATGTTATCATATAATTTGTTTTAGATATTTTCCAAACCAGAGCAATAGACAGATATGGAGATTAGAGAAAGAGATCAACTCAAATATATCAAAGCTCGTAAAACAACGGCAAGAGGAATGTTGTGAGCAAGATCTCTTGCAAATGATACTCCAGGGTGCAAAGAATTGTGAGGGAAGTGATGGCTTTTTATCAAACTCAATTTCGCGAGACAGGTTCATTATAGATAACTGCAAAACCATATTCTTTGTTGGACATAAAACTACTGCAATTACAGCATCTTGGTGCTTAATGGTGTTGGCTGCATACCAAGATCGTGCTCGTGCAGAGGTGCTTGAAGTTTGCGGAAATGGTAATCTAGACGCAACTTAAAAGCATGAAAACGGTAATGTTTTAGGCAAGTATGTTTGTTATGTGTTAAGTAAAATCTTCTAAAAAAATGTTACAATTCTTGCAGTTAACCGTGCTGATTCAAGAGACATTGAGGCTTTATTCACCAGCAGTATTTGTTACCAGAACAGATTTACAAGATGTTAATATAAAAGGTATTAAAGTTCCAAAAGGAATGAATATGCAGATTCCAATCTCGATTTTGCTACATGACATTGATATCTGGGGCCTGATGCGCACGAGTTCAATCCAGAAAGATTTGCGAATGGCGTGATTGGATCGTGCAAGATTCCACAAGCTTATATGCCGTTTGGAATTGGCCCCTGTATCTGTCCTGGACAGCATTTGGCCATGTTAGAATTGAAGGTGATTTTGTCTCTCATTCTGTCCAAGTTTCGGTTGTCTCTTTCATCAAGTTACTGTCATTCGCCGGCGTTTTGTTTGGTTATGAACCTGGTCAGGGAGTTGTTCTCAACGTGACAAAAATTTAACTAAGCAACAATGTAACTAAAATGACTCTTCACATATTCATTGGGGTTCCTTTTTCACTGTTATTGTGAAGGTTGTTATTATAGTAACAAATAGTATTATTTCAAATGGATAATGAGATTATGTGCATTGTTATTTTTACCTTAGGGTCTTTTTTTGATTATTGAATGGAAAAAGAGTAGAGGACAATATGTTAGAGAATGAGATGAGTGAGGAAGGAATAGAGGATAAATAGGAAAGATTGGTAAGTTCTTGGTTTCACTTTAGAGTAAGTTTTATCTAGGTTTACTTCTTGAGGTAAAAAGTACTGTTGCTTTAGACTTTCTACTCAATTTATATCCAATAAATAGTTATGGACCAATCAGCCTTGTTGAACAAGCTATCCAGTAGGATATGGACTCGGTTATGGGTAATAAAAATTTGGAAAAACTAGTTGATCTTTCACCAGAATCCAAACCAATAGTTTGTAAATAGACCTTTATTTAGAAGAAAAATTAAAGCTAATGGCACCATTGATAAATTCAACGTTAGTTTATTGTTAAAGGATTTATACAAAATGAAGGTATTGATTGCTTTGATACCATATGTACATGTTGGAAGAATTGCATCATTTAGAGTGATTTTGACACTCTAAATCAAGTTCTATCTATAAGTTTGCAATCTATCAAATTGATACTAAAATTGCTTTCATAAATGAAGAGTTTGTTATCAAAGGTCAAGAATATAAAGAACATAAATTAACTACATATTTATGAAAAACCAAGCACCCAAACAAAATGACATAAGTTGTTGGACCAGGTTCTCATTTATAATAATAAATTTCAAAATGGAAAGGGTGATATGATTTCTTAATATGTGAATGACATGTTAATTTTGGGTACTGATAAAAAAACTAGAAAAGGCAATTTATTCAAAAAAAATTAATAAGACTTTGGTGAAGTGATTTTAGGAATTAAAATTATAAGAGATTGTAAAAGTAGAATTAAAACACCTAAATAAAAGTAACTTAAAATTTTAGTAACCTATACTGGGTTTAATAGACTGGACAACCTATACAGAGCCCAGAATTATTTTTGACTCCATAAGCTTGAAAGACCTTGTTAACTTTAGACTGGCTCATAATAAGCGCTCATAATAAGCTTTTAAACAAGTACCATCATTGCATTAAGTCAATATATGTTTATCACAGGTTCATAGAAATCATAGCCAAAATCAAACCATTACAATAACATGCTCTAAAATTACCACACCATATATATCATCAGAAAACAATAACAAACTACCAAGCTATATCATTCTCCAACAGAATGGACTGTTGGAGTCATCATTCTGTCATAACAGGCTTGTTCTCGTTGGCTTTGAATCTTTGTTCTTTAGGCTTCTGCTCCTCGTTTTTCCTGCAGAACAATAGTTTGATTAAAACCCAACAACATAATTTTAAATACAACATTAACTTAATAACAATACAATGAACACATATTGCCCCAGATGATCTATCGTGCCAGGGGAACCAAATTGCAAAATAACATTGAAAACACAATGTTGTTATTAACACAGAAGTAAAAATACAATCATCATGGCAAATTGGTGATAACAAAACGATAAGCAAACATGCAGTTTTGGTACTCCAGGCTAAGCCTTTACACAGCCAAGAGGAGCTAATGATTTCATTAGCAATGCAAGAGACCCATATTACACAAAGTCTGCCAATATGAAATCTACACAACTTTATATACATCCTAAAATGGTACCAAATACACAACATATTTCTCAAGTTTGCAACATTGTGACAAGGGCATTGAATTCCACAAGTTCAGGACAACTAAGCCAACAAACTAAACAAGTTAAAAAAATTCCAAAGTCACTTCCCGCCAAATGGATTCGAGAACAAATGAAAAACCATGCTATATTTTCCTATCTTAAATCATGTCTTATCACAAACCATTCAATATTCTTTCTTAATTAACCAACCCACTGGTTACATGCACAAAAACTTAAGAAATGGAATTCTGGACAATGATTCAGAAGTACAGTTATTCAATCATAATACCAAACTAACATTGTCAAAATCTTGTTCAGCATTTTGGTAATCTTAATAGAGTAGAAAAGGAAGAAAAAAAATTCAGTTTGAGCCAAGTTCCATATTTAACCTATGTATCACCAACACTTCAGGATGAAGACGTGTCCAAAAGATTCGACACTCATATGGCGATTATAAGTGTGATTATATTCCTAATTAGTAATGTTTCTAAGTGTCAATGTCAGCTTGAGTCTAGTGTCCATATCCATGCTTCATAACATTAAACAATGTTGTCTAATACATAAGTTCGACCAGTGGGAATAATCCATGGCCATTATATCAAGCTATAAACCATCTATCGGCTTTTCACCCGACAATTACCATTCTGATAGAAGCCAAAAACACCAATAGCTACTTCAGATGTCTTCTGATTCATGAGCAGCCCATACACACATGAGTTCAACCCAATACATGGCGGCGTTTGAAAAAACTTAGTTAATGTTCTAGAAGGGTTTATGAAAATAGCTTGTGATATGTCCAAAAGATAATCCAGCTTATTTCTATAAGCTCTTAAAAAATTAATAAGTTCTTCCAAACACCCCTTAATGTAGCATTTGCTCAAAATGTGTGTATTTTCGTATTTTCTTATTCATACACACAAACTGTAAACAATTCTATACTCATGCTATTCATCGCTAAAACTCAATCAAAAAACTTGCAACGGGCCAAAACAACACAACACGGAAATCCCATTCAACCACAAATTCCCCTCATTGTATAATTCCCGACATAAAGCAAGAAATAATAAATTGCACATATAAGAAATGGGAATAGATTAAAATCATATGAAAACAACATAAAATGAAAAATAAACAGAGAAAACCCGGTTTCCTGTTGAAATTGAATCGTGTGCATAAACCCTAATTAATAATAAGAGAGAAGACGAACCTCTTATCGGAGGAACCGCCCTTCTGGCTGAGGAAGGATCGGAAAAGAGGAGAGTTAACGTCGTAAATCATCGTGTCTTTGTTTTTTGGTAGAGAAGATTCAACCGCAAATATGAAACCCTAATTTCCTTAACCTTCCAGAATTTATTGCATGAGAACCAAACGGGTCGGGTTTACGGGTACATGATTCGGCTTGCTTGTAAAGCCCGTGTTGCTTATGACTTAAGGTCCAACCCAAAGTATGATAATAAATGTGCCTACAAAATCATATTTTACTAGTTTTATCCATAAATAAATCACTGACATTTTTTATAAAAAAATACTATTATTAATTACATATTTATGTAATATGTAATATCGCTGTTAAAAGTTGTGTCCAAAAGGTTCAAAAACAAAAATTGGAAAAATTTTATAATGTTTTCTAAAAACTATAATAAATTATATATTTTAATGATGCAGTATAGCACCTTAAAACATAATTAAAGGCCAAAATATATTCTTAAAAGTTATTTTTAACTGCCAATAAATCCACGATTGTAAGCATAGATAATAATCACGAGAAAGCGTCAGACTTCTTATAGTTTCTAATGGTTCTGCAAATTTCTTAAAAATTTGTAATTAATTTATTGATATGTTATAATTATTTATTTATTTATTTTTGTCTTAGACCCTCTCTCATATAAAATAAAAATCATTTTTAACGGTGTTTGTAAAATGAGAAGAAAAAAATAGAATGAAACAAATGAGATATTAAAAGTAATTATTAATAAAGATGTTCCTAAGTTTAAAATGTAAATTAATGTAATTTAAATAAATTTAAATAATATATTATTATATAATTTTATGCAACTATTTAAATAAAATAATTAATATAGCACACAATATATTAATGTAACGAGGGCTAGAATTTACAACTACATTGTATTTCTAATCACATTGTATTGTATTTTTAATGTATATAATGTTTATTTTCACCTAACATGTACGACTCTGTGTAAAAAAAAACATGTATCATTTCTTGTGAAGAAATCTATGATTTCAATGGAAGAAAATTAACTATGTATCATTTATAAATTATTTAATTTTTTTAATTTAAACTTAGTAAGAAATTTGTATTGTCGCATGGGTTTCGTTTGGATTCACATTACATTATCAGTGACTAAATTATTAAGTATGACACCTTGTTTTTTATTTGGATAACATTAATATAGTTATAACTTATAATCATTTATTAAATTTTAATTCATGAGTTTGTAATATCAAACATAATATAATTTATATTGCGGTTCATAAATATTCACATAGTTTTAGTTATATATTAATAATATATACCAACTTTTAAGTATTGATTCATATTTATAATAAATCGTACAACTATTTTTATAACTTCAATTATATAAAACAACAGCAAAAGAAATAGTTAAAAGATAGACATTGAAAGATTAGTCAATAGTTGGCATCTCATAGATACGTTGAATGACTTCACATATAGAGTCAATCTCAGTGTCATGCAGTAACTCAAAATTTGCAAGTCTCTTTGGTATTTGTTTAACTCACGTGGCCTTTGAAACCGCGCAAGTTCACCTTTAGATTCAGGTCCACCTTCAGAGGTTGCATTACCATTAGAGGTTGGACTACCATAAAAGGATGGACTACCATCACAACTTGGACCACCTTTAGAGTTTGAGTCACCTTTAGAGTCTAAGTCACCTTCAGAGTCTGAGTCACCTTCAGAGGCAGAATCTTCTTCAGAGGCATATTCTTCTTTAGAGACATCTTCAGAAACTCCTTTAACTCCAAAAGCATAATCAAACTTGTTTCAGTCTCATTTTTCTATTTCTTTCGTTATGACATCTCTGCTAACTTCAACTTTGTTGGTGACTAGGCAATATAGCTTATAAGCACATGTATTGTGTAACACTCGAGGTTGAAGATGACAGAGAGTGGTTACATGTAACACCCGAGGGCGAGAGAGTGGTTGTCGGTGCACGATGCATGACAATGAGACACTTCTAGCAGCTTCTAGGAAAAAACCAAATTCACATTAGGATGAGAGGGATCCCGAGGTTGTGTAAGAAAGGGACTACATAGTTGAATAAAAGCTTATAAAGATTAATTGGTACTACCTATATCAACAAGATGCATCTTATTTTTGATATCCTATTCCATAAGAACTCCACGGTTATGAGTGTTTGACTTAGAGCAATTTTGGGATGGGTGACCTTCTGGGATGTTTCTCGAAATGCATATGAGTGAGGCTAAATCATGCTGAAAAGACTTTTGTTGGTTGGTGGGGTCAGTCAGTAATCCTGAAGGCAGTCTGGGACATTATAAATGGTATCAAAGCAAACCTCTTTAGTACGAGATGGTTTTGGGACGAACCAAGCGGAAGCTGGTGGGCATGTAACACCCGAGGCCAGAGAGGACAAAGAGTGGTTACATGTAACACCTTAGGGCGAGGGAGTGGTTATCGGTGCACGAGGCATGACAATGAGACACTCCTAGCAACTTCTAGGGAAAACCGAATTCACATCGGAATGAGAGGCATCCTGAAGTTGTGTAGGAAGGGACTGTATGGTTGAATGAGAGCTTATATATATTAATTGGTACTACCTAGGGGTGTTCAGATCCAATCCGATCTAAAAAAATCCAAAAAAAAACGAATTTTTTTGGATGTATTTGGATCACCATGTAGCATAACTGACCGGTTCGGTTTGGTTTATGGTTGGCTTTATGAGAACCGAACCGGTCCAAACCGAACCGATATTACTTCCATTTACTTGCCATTTATTATTCCTTGTGATGCAACTTTCACATGTCCACTATTATTGATATTTTTCTTGAAGTTTTATTATTATATTCGCTTTAATATAGCTTTGGAATCTTCATTTGTTCACTGTTTTATATATTTGTCATATATTTAATTTATAATACAAATCTCCATATAAGAACTAAGCATATCTCCATATATATATTATATATTATAGCCATGTCTATTTCGTTGGGATAGATATTATACATATATTATAATGAAACTTTGCAATAATGACATCAAATAGCCATATGAACATAGCAATTAGATATTGTCTCAGTAGACGTTGGTGGCATAATTGTAACTGGTATTGAAATATATTCTTTTTAAATTTCTAAATAGTGTTGGTTTAAAAACCGAATAAAACCGATTCAACCGAACCGAAGTAAACTGTATAAATTGGATTGGATTTTTCTTGTTGTCATCCAAAAACCGAACCAAACCGTATGCTTTATATATTTTTGGATCGGATGATATTTTGTCTCAAAACCGATCTAAACCGGACCACGAACACCCCTAGACTACTACCTATATCAACAAGATGCATCTTAAGTATCTTGTTCCATAAGAACTCCACAATTAAGCGTGCTTGACTTGGAGCAACTTTGGAATGGGTGACCTTCTGGAAAGTTTCTCGGAATGCATATGAGTGGGACCAAATCATGCTGAAAAGACTTGTGTTGCTTTGTGGGGTTAGTCGGTAATCCTGAAGGAAGTCTAGGGCATTACATACTGTGGTAACCTATAAGCAACATGATTTTTCTTCTGTCACCCAATTTCCTTCTAGTAGCATCTGGTACATGTTTATAAACAAAACCAAATACCTTCAGATGGCTCACACTCAGCTTTCTTCCAGTCCACTTCTCTAGAGGAACTATTTCCTTTAACTTCTTTATTGGACATCTTTTGAGCATATTGGCTATAGTAGCAATAACTTCTCCTTAGAATGTGTGAGGCATATTCTTATTCTCTTTCAACATGCTCCTGGTCATGTCAAGTAAAGTTATTTTCTTCTTGCAACAAGATCATTATGTTGTGGAGTGTATGGAATAATCACTTCATGTTCAATATCATTCTCCTCACATAACTTCTTGAACTCTTCAGAGTTGAACTCACATCCACCATAGGTTCTGAGGATCTTCAACCTTTGTCTACTCTGATTTTAAGCTTTCACTTTGAACTTCTTTAACTTAACAAACACCTCATGTTTGAACTTTATGAGTGATATCCATGTCATTCTTGTAAATTCATCCACAAATGACACAAATTACTTGTTTCATCCAAGTGAAGGTACTTCAAATGGACAACATACATCACAATTCATAACACCCAAAGAATGATTTGCTCTTGGAGGCAATTCTAATGAGAAAGGCAGTCTTGGTTGCTTGCCTTTTATGCATATGTCACACAATTTCTCTAGTGCCACAATCTTAAGAATTCCAAGAACTGTATTCTTTGAACTCAGATGTCCTAAGCTTCTGATGTTCAAATGCCTAAATCTCTTGTGTCGTAGCTCACTCTCCCTTGCAACACTTATTGCACTAAGGTATTGGGTGTTTGATGTTCAACATTCACCTTGAATGTCTTATTTCTTCCTAGTTCAGACTGTATATTCAATTTATGATTACAATCATACAAATTCAAGAGATTGTCTTTCATGGTTACATAAAAAACTTTTTCAATCAGTTGACCAACACTCTTCAGATTGCTCTTCATGTCAGAAACATACCATACCACCAATATACCATTTTTCACCTTCATTCTTAGATGCCGCCAATAACACAAGTTTATTCTCTAAATCTCCTCTGGCTATATTGGCTTCTTCACACTTGTTTTCTTTGTTTAACCAACAATCAGAGGCAAAGTAGCCAATGTCACAGTGAAAAATCGAGGAGACCAAGCTATGGAGAAACTTGACTCACAAAGACTTAAGAAGTCACCACTAAACTTTATTGTTTCCAAGTAAAAGGGAAAAGATCAAAACCCTATTGTTTAACATGCAGCGCAAGAAGTAAAGACTACAAGCAAAGCATAAGGAAGAGATCTAAGGTATGGGGTTAGTTTACACAAAGGTAATGTATTAGCATCCTATGTATTTGTAGTACTCTACACGAACCTTTTATAAAATCTGTTTTTGGTTTAAAATGTTTGCTTTCTAAATGACTATAGGGATGGGAAAAAGAAGTATATTTTATCATATTTTTGTTTGGAAATACATAGTCTTATACCTACGTACCAATAAAGGATCAAAACCTCATAGTTCATGATAAAAATAACAAAAGGGTTTGTTGTGG